GGGAGAAGGCCCCTAGAGAGAAACCAAACCAGCCAGCCCTCAGGCAGACCCGCCAGGGACCCACTGATGAGGCACAGATGGCAGCTGCTGCTGCTCTGGCCCGGCTGGAGCAGAAGCAGCCCAGGGCACGGGGCCCCACGTCACAGGACTCCATCCGGAACCAAGGTGAGTGCAGCCATTCCTTGTCAAGGTTGGGGGCTGTTTGTGGGTACCCCAAACTGTGTTCAGCTCTGGATGGAAAAGATTACGTGATTGATGACAGGTGGGGAGAGGATGTTTAAAGTCACCACTGGAGCATGCCCACAGAGATGAGCAGGGTGAAGGGGAGCAGTGGCCTTATATGGTCTGGGGGGCATGGCTACCAGGGGCTTGTGCCAGGAAGGGAAGTAGGAACTAAGACTGGAGGATTTGTGAGTGGTCAGGAGAAGGCTTTGGGGGACCATTAGGTAGAGGAGTAGATGCAGGCTAAGCCTGACCCACATGAGAGCAGGGGCCCCCATGTCATCCATTGATCCTTACCTCTCTTTCCACTTGTTCCTTTCCTTGTTACAGTGAAAAAGGAACTTCGAGCTGAAGCTACTGTCAGCGGGAACCCGGAGGTTCTAGGAACCAATGTGGTAAAAAGCATGGCTGGCTATAGTACCACATCTGAGGGGTAGCTAGGGCTGGGGGCAGCTTGGACCCTGTGATGGGGCCAATAGAGGAGGGGGAGACAAGAAGATACATCACCTGAGTGCTTGGGGCTCCAGGGCTGTTGGAAGTCCCACTTTCATGCAGTTGTTGTCTGGCACCTTCCCAACTCAGCACCTAACACCTGGCTTGGGCCCTAAGGGTTGGACTGACCTACATTAGTTCAGTGGTTAATTCTTCTTGTGAATGCTGCCTTAATTCCATATTGGGAGTGGATACTATCATAGTTCCCACTTTTCAGGAGAGTGTTCTGAGGTTTAGGTTCAGAGAGGTGATGCCACCTGTCTTCTCTCCTATTCTTCAGAACCAGTAAGGGTAGGAGGGAACCATAGTCTGTGACCCTAAAGCCCATGTCCTTGAACTGCTCTCTCCTGCCTGCTGTGGGAGTTGGGTGTATAATCAGGGAGGACGTCCTGGAGGAGGTGGTCCTCAAGAGCATAGCCAGAAGGGTATTCAAAGCAGCTTAAGGATTCACTTAATTTTAGTGTGAAGAGACCCTAGAAACTGAAGCCCAGAGAGCAGTTAGGGCATGTTGAGGATACCATGCCTCCTGACTCCCAACCCAGAAGCCCTTCTTTAGGATGAGCAAGTGCCCAGGCTGCATTTGTTGAGTGCTTAGTCTGTGTCAGGAGCCCAGATGCTACCTGCTTTCTGTTCCTTACCTTGTTTAATTTTGAGCTGGCCCTGCAGGGACATTTTATATACCAGGAAACAGGCTTAGAGAGGTCCTGTCACTTAGCCAGGGTGTCTCCCGCGGCAAACAAAGTGGAAGGGCCAGCATGAGGGCTACAATGTTTGGCTATAACGTCCGCACTCTCAGATCTATGGCACTTGGGCGGCTCCAAGGTGGCCTCTATCCACAGTCTAGACTTAAATGCTTCTGTCACCTCAGGTACCCGAGTCCAAAGAGGAAGGCTCAACCCACCTGGCAGTACCCGGCGTGTATTTCACGTGTCCGCTCACTGGGGCCACCCTGAGGAAGGACCAGCGTGATGCCCGCATCAGAGAGGCTATTCTCTCAGTGAGTGGCAACCTATGTCCCCTCATCCCATCCTCTGCTACAGAGCTTCCAGTGCCTGAGCCACTTCCAGCCCCCATGGGTGGCATCCATTCTTGGGAAAGTCCTGCAACCACTTTTTTATTATCAATGTTTTTGTTTTTATTTCTGTTCTAATCCTTCTAAAGAGGTGAGACATGTTGTATAGAATTCAAAAGGTACAGAAGTAGATGGAGAAAAGGTTCCTCCCACTGTCTCCCAGCCACCCCTCCTTGGAGGCCACTCTAGGTAGTTAGGTCCCTTTACTAAGATACTTTACATATATACATATAAGAACTATTGATGTATGTGTATATATCTACACATATATATGCCCCTCACTGGTTTTGTTTTTGTTATGTATTACTCAACACAGAAACTTACTGTGCTTTTATTAGTTCAGACAGAACTTGCAGAGTATTTTTTTCTTGTACAGTAAGCCCTCACTTAACATTGTCAATAGGTTTTTTTTTTTTTTTTTTTTGACAGAGTCTCACTATATTGCCCTTGGTAGAGTGCTGTGGCATCACAGCTCACAGCAACCTCAAACTCCTGGGTTTAAGCCATTCTCTTGCCTCAGCCTCTGGACTAGCTGGGACTGTAGGCACTGGCCACAATGCCCAGCTATTTTTAGAGACAGGGGTCTTGTACTTGCTCAGGCAGTTCACCCACCTTGGTCTCCCAGGGTGCTAGAGTTACAGGCGTGAGCCACCATGCCCAGCATTTTCCTTATTTTGGGTTAGGTTGATCATGTTTTCTTTCTTTTTTTTTTCTGAGACAGAGTCTCACTATATTGCCCTTGGTAGAGTTCCGTGGCATCATAGCTCACAGCAACTTCAAACTCTTGTGCTTAAGTGATTCTTTTGTCTTAGCTTCCCAAGTAGCTGGGACTACAGGCACCCGCCACAACGCCCAGCTATTTTTTGGTTGTAGTTGTCATTGTTGTTTGACAGGCCCTGGCTGGGTTTGAACCTGCCAGCCCCAGTGTATGTGGCCAGCGTCCTAGCCGCTGAGCTACAGGCTTCAAGCTCCACATAGGAATTTTTGATCTCTGTGTGATTAAATGTGTGGATCTTACTTTATGGCTTCTGGGTGTTTGGTCATTTTTTTTTTTTTTTTTTTTTTGCAGTTTTTGGCCAGGACTAGGTTTGAACCCACCACCTCTAGCATATGGGGCCGGTGCCCTACCCCTGTGAGCCACAGGTGCTGGCCTTTTTTGCAATTTTTTTTTTTGGCAGGGGCTGAGTTTGAACCCGCCACCTCCAGTATATGGGGCCGGTGCCCTACTCCTCTGAGCCACAGGCTTGGTCATATTTTGAAAGACTTTTCTCACTTCCGTGCTAAAATAACTTGTAGTTTTTCTAATACTTTGTTTTGTTTGCTTGTTGTGTTTTAATGTTTAAAACTTTGATACAAGGCAGGGCCAGGTGGCTTATGCCTGTAATCCTAGCTCTTGGGGAGGCTGAGGTGGGAGGATCCCTTGAGCTCAGGAGTTTGAGACCAGTCTTTACTAAAAATAGAAAAATTAGCCAGGCATTGTGACAGGAGCTTGTAGTCCTAGCTACTCAGGAGGCTGAGGCAAGAAGATCATTTGAGCCTGGGAGTTTAAGGTTGCTGTGAGGTCAGCTGATGCCACAGCATTCTAGAACAGGTGATAGAGTGAGACTGTCTCCAAAAAATAAAAACTAAGGCTTTGAATAAGAATTTATTCCTGTGTGAAGTACAAGGTGTGGAGCCAATGTTATTTTTTTCCAGATAGCTGCTCAATTTTTTCTCAATGCCATGTATTGAGAATACCTGTCTTTTGCTCTTAGGTATGGAATCCCACTTTTATCCCACAGTACATTTCTGTATGTATTTGGCTCATTTCTGGATGCTCTGTTCCTTTGTCCTTCATTTGTTCATATTCAGTGGTACTGGCTTTGTCTGAGGGCAGTGTGTGGAGCAGTGGCCCTTGCCTGGGGCATGTGTGCTTCCGGGCACTCTGGGGAATCTGTCCATCTAGCTACCATCATGCCTCTCTCTGCAGACATGCTTTCTCTGCCCTGCAATGTTCAAACCCCTCTCCCCATCTCATCCTGGCAACTAAACTGGCAGCCTGGGGTGGGTTCCAATTTGCAGTTGGCAGGAGAGTGCCTCATTTTAAGTCAGTGGTCCCTGTGACACAGATGTGTCTACAGAGTGTTCCCCACTGTGCAGTTGAGTGTCTGGGGTGGGGTGGAGGCTGTGGGCTGCCTAGGTAGGTGGTCCATGTCCTGACACATCACCCCAGGTGGCACTTCTATCCCCTGACCCAGCTGTCTTCCTAGGCTACAGAGGGACCAGGAGGTGTAGCCATGTGCAGTAGATACACAGAGGACTGTGAACATATTTGTTGGCCCAATCTTGTCCCGTTTCTTAGGTGACCTGTGCTTAGCCTCTCTCTGCTGGGATGCTGTTTGCAATCCCCAGGGCTGGCTCTGGGAAACCCCTAGATCTACAGTTGTGACTCCTTCCCTCCTCTTGGAACAGGTGGGACCCCTAGGAGGAGGGTGGGGCAGGGCTATCCATAGTCCAGCTGTTTTGCCACCCCCACTATACATTAGGCATCAAGGGTCACAGACCTCATTTGTGTCCTCTGCCACCTAGCATCCTTGAGACCCTGGAAGGGGAACTTGCAGCCTCTCATCTTAAACCTAGGAGTCCCTCTGGAGCAGCAGTTCTCAAGCTGTGGGTCATCACCCACAGGAACTGCATTCAAGGGTTGCGGCCTTAGGAAGGTTGAGAACTACTGCTGTAGAGTGTGCCTAATGGAGCTGTGAGAGATCAGGTGGGAAGGTGTCCACAGTGGCTGGTAGGTTCAGTGAATGGTAATGGCCTCAGTGGCTGTCAGTACCATTGAAGCCAAGGTGCAAAGCAGAGGCCTGTAGTGTGAATGTGGCCTTCAGAAAGTGAGAAGCAGACTTTTCTGTGTTGGCTACAGTAGGACTAAGGCAGGGCTAGGGCTATCCAAGTGGTCTCTGGCGTTTCCTTAGTGTGGTGAACACATAGAGTTTAGCTGGCTTCAACTAAAGGGTACTTCTCTGCTGGAAGAGGTTGCTCCTGCTCTTCCTTTTCCCAGTCCAGTCACCTGGCAGTGAGAGGGCCACATGGCTACCAGGCCCCTGTTCATGACTTCCCACATGTGTCCCCTCTCCCTCCCCAGCACTTTGCCACTGACCCAGTGGCTGCCTCCATCATGAAGATCCACACCTTCAACAAAGATCGAGATAGGGTGAAGCTGGGCGTGGACACCATTGCCAAGTGAGTGGGCAGAGCCCCTCCCCTGCTAAAGCTGTCACACACACACACACACACACCCCCACACCCCCGTCGTTGTGACCTGCTGAGGTGGCCTGGGAGGAGCATGGGCTGGGAGGAGTGCTGTCCTGGTCCCCCCCCAACCCTATATAGTGAGCCCTTGGGTAAGGGACTAGGCCTCCTAGTCTGTGAAATGAAGGAGTTTATGGAATCAGGGTTCCCAGCCCTGGCTGCCCTTGAGCAGGTCAAGGTGTGTGTGGGGGAAAGACCCTGGGATGATAGCTCTGTAGGACCCTGGGCTCTGGTGGTCTGTGATTTTGGCTCTGTTCCTCACTCTATAGTTAATAGGTACCCTTGAGGGCAGGGAGGACTGAGAAAAGCTGGGCACAGTGACAATCCCTTTTGTGGGCAGTGGGGGGCCCTCAGGGTTTTTGCCTCAGCCCAAGCTGTCAGCACTGGGTGGGCTCTATTGTATCTGCAGTGACTCCTGTTCCCAAGGTGCTGTCTGCCTTGAGCCCCAGGTCATGGGCCATTTCTTCCCTGTGACTACAGGCCAAATGAAGCTCTCAGATGCTGTCCCCCTGGGGCTGGGAGGCAAAGAGGGCCAGGCAGGCAGCCCACGAAGGCTTGTGCCCATTCACCCCTTCACCCCCCAGGTACTTAGACAACATCCACCTACATCCTGAGGAGGAGAAGTACCAGAAGATCAAGCTACAGAACAAGGTGTTCCAGGTGGGTGCTGCCTCCTGCAGGCTGTTAGCCTGGTATGGCTACCATGACCGGGTCTGCACTGTACACGTCTCTAGCTGGTGGGGGGAGGGGAGGCTGGCCTTCAGACAGTGGGTGTAGCCTACTCAGAGCAGATGCTCACTGTGAGAGGGGCATAGCAAAAGCTTTGTGCACCAGAGTTACCCAATGTCCACAGATTATCTGTCCACTCCTCCCCTAGCATTCAGTTCTTTAGTTGGAATCGTGTGGGAATATCCGCGTGTGGAAATTTCCACAGAGAAGCTGTCATGTATTTTCTCTGGCTGCTCTAGTCCTACCATCCCTCTCCCACAGTCCTGGCCCCTCAGCCTTGCTCTCTGAGCCTGGTTGTGAGCCCCTGGGTGCCACACTCTCCAAGGAGGCTCTGTAGCCCCCAGGAGAATGGGTTTGTACCTTACTCAGAAGTAGCCCGCAGGCAGGTCCCTGTCAGAGTGGAGGCACTGGGGTGGGGAGACCTCATTACCTCCAGCCCTTTCTCCCAGGAGCGCATTAACTGCCTGGAAGGGGCCCATGAGTTTTTTGAGGCCATCGGGTTCCAGAAGGTGATGCTGCCAGTTCCTGATAAGGGTAAGAAAAGACAGGCCTGGCCAAGGGGGTGGTGGGAGGGCCTGGCTGGGGTCCCACTAGCAGAGTGACCTCTGTGTGGTCTTCAGAGGGCCCCGAGGAGTTCTATGTGCTGAGTGAGGCAGTGCTGGCCCAGCCCCAGAACCTGGAGAAGCACCGAGAGCAGCTGCTGGCTGCAGAGCCCGTGCGGGCCACACTGAACCGCCAGCGGCGTGTCTTCCGGCCATCACCCCTGGCCTCACAGTTTGACCTGCCTGCAGACTTCTTCAATCTCACAGCAGAGGAGATCAAGCGGGAGCAGAGGCTCAGGTGGGCAAGGCATCTGCAGGTGTGGGTGGGTGGTGGCACTGGGGCTAGCAACCTGAGCCTTCTGTGGTGCCCAGGTCGGATGCCGTGGAGCGGCTGAGCGTGCTGCGTACCAAGGCCATGCGGGAAAAGGAGGAGCAGCGGGAGCTGCGCAAGTACACCTATGCACTGCTGCGAGTACGCCTCCCTGACGGCTGCCTGCTGCAGGGTAGGCACCCAGACTTGGCACCACCAGGCCTAACAGCCTAGGGAGGGTGGCTGGTTGGGTCCCTGGCCGGGATCTGACTATCCCACTCCCCAGGGACCTTCTACGCCCGTGAGCGGATGGCAGCAGTCTACGGGTTTGTCAGGGAGGCCTTGCAGAGTGACTGGCTGCCTTTTGAGCTGCTGGCCTCAGGAGGGCAGAAGTTGTCGGAGGATGAGAACCTGGCCTTGAATGAGTGTGGGCTGGTGC